CTTTACAAATGAGACAAAGTGTATTAATGTTAATTTAGACAAAAAATATAAAAATGCATTTTTACATTTTCAATTTAATGGTATTTCATATAGATATATAATATATATTAGTAAATTAAAATATGAATTTCCAACGTTGCGGTTATTTTTATTAATTAATTAAAACAAAGTAGAGAGATAAACATTTTTTAATTATTACTTAAATTATTTAATACATCATGATATATTTCGATAAATTATAAAATTTTTAATATATTCTATAAATTCTGCTGTTTAATTCAAACTATTTTATATGAAAAGCATCAGAATCATGAGAGCCTTGTATAAATAATAAATATTTTTTATCTTAAATTAGTTAGTAATACTAAAATGCAAGTACATACTTAATGTTATAAAAATCAATTCACTTGCATTAATAATTATTACATTTATCTAATAATGCTTCTTATTTATCTATAAAGAAACCACTCGATCTAAAAAGATTATTGAATAAGTTAATAATGTATTCACGATTACATGACACAATTATATGACGTTTAAAAAACTTTCGAAAAATTATCAATATTATTATGTAATAATAAATTAAATTGTAAAACAGATATACATATATAAATTGATAACTGTAAGTTTTTTCTATCATATTAACAGTATAATCACTCATATAAAATAAACGTGGAGATATTTAAATAATTTGGAAATGAAGAAAATATTCAATCATTAATAATGTGATAAATTTGAAACAAATCGGTTAATTTTTTAATTAATGATGCTATGTACAAATTTTTATTTAAAATTTAACATAATATTTTTTAATTAATAAAGGTGGCTTATATTAATTTATTATTTTATTTTATTTGTAAACTTATTACTGCTACAAATAATGATTCCCAGACTAACGAGTAAAGGAACAAAATAAAATTTGACCTTAACGGCGGTATAATTACAGATCAATTGCATCACCATTCTTCCAAACTCTTCCAAACTTTATTCTACTTAATCCAACATTATAGATTGTAATTGTATCGTCTCATATATAGTTCACAAAAAAAAATAAGTATATACAACCACATTTTATCGAGATTAGACACTCACTAGGGTAGTACTATAAAATATATAATAAATATTCCAATACAGGATTCATAGATCCATATATTTATACTTTTCCCGTTCGACTATATTTAACGAAGAACTCTTGCGAATTATGTGATTTAGGTGATATCTTCTACTTCTGCGAGACACTATCTTGCAAAAATTTAAAAATTGGTTGATCAAGTTATGAAATTATCAAAATCCTTACCCGTTAAACTACAGCATTAAGGGATAAAGGCAATGTATTTTTATAAGAAAAACAATTATAAAACGACTTGAGTACAATACTGGTCGTGTAACAAAAAAAATAAAGAAATAAACATAGTTCAACAATCAAAAGCTTCACTGTACCTGAAACGACTCTCATCTATATACCATATCAGCGACGCATTATTCAGTAACATCGATGACTTCTATTCGAAGATGAAAGCCACCTATATGTTCACGACTATCTATCGAATCCGGTTATCATATTTGGATACAATTTTGCCTACAGGTCAAACAGTTGGATGTATATTACATCTCCAATAAATGCATTTTCACTATCATTTTAATTTCAACTTTTCACTTCAATATCGTTTTCATGTTCATATCAAAATATAATAAATATTGGCAATCGCGCATCCATCGTTTTACATTATGATTGGAAAATTTTACAGTATCAGACTAGAAAGCAAATTGAATTAATTTTTATTATAATAATTTACTATAAAAATAATATAATGAATTTAAATAATATTTAAATATAATTATTTACAAGAATATTATATATATTTAATATGAATAGAATAAAAATTTACTGTAAAATATATAATTTATTATAGATAAATTTTTCTCTATTATATAAAAATATTAATAATTTCCTCATTAATATATTATAAAGTTTATAATTAAGATATTGATTTTCAAGTTAAAATATTTATGATTAATAAACATGTAATACTTCTAACACAAATTTACATAAAAATATTTGTTATAAAATTTATTTTTAAATTTGAGATGAATTTAAATATTTTCTATAAGTTTAAATAAAATATTTTTATATTTCTTAATTTTTAAGCACTTGATTAAAAAAATACAATTATCCATAATTGGAATATTTCATTTTATTAATATATATTTATTTTATAATATATATTTGTTACAAAAATATTATTGAAACATAATTGAATATTCAAGTAATACTATAATCTTAAGTATGTAATGTACAAAAAGTATGTAGAAAATTTTTAATATATATGAAATAAATACAATTGTTTATAAGTAAAATATACTTTTTTTATTATTTTGATAAATAATTTGTAATAACATTCACTAATAGAAAATTAAAAGAAGTTTCTAGAGTTTTTAATAAAACAATAATGAAAATAGATTAAATATTGCAATTACAAAGCATTGATAATTAATTTTATTGATATACAGTAAGATTAAAACTTTTTATCTTTGAAAATTATAATTTACATACTTACACGCTACTTATATAACTTACTGCCGAATGTAACGAGTATAATTATTATGACTTCTCACTTGTAATCCTATATATACATATTATTTGAATTACGATAAGTTGGAATTATGCTATTTATAAAAAACAGTGCTAGCATCATAGAACTAAAGAGAGATGTACTTCTATTACTGTAACAATTTCAATAAACCAACAAGACTTAATTAGTATTCTAAAGTAGAACATCTCTAATGATTTTAAGATCTCGCAGAAACTCACTTTCTCGTTCTTTCTCCCTCTTTTACTTATTCACAACCATGTGACAATTAATTTTCATGCAGGAGTTTTTCTTTCTCATATATATTTTTTCCGCCTCTAAACTTTATTATCGTACATTTTATTGGTGTTCAGCTTGTATTTGTTAGGATAATTGCGTTGTGTAACGTGTTAAAACGAATCAGTCCGGGTCGAAACTATGCCAAAAATTTATAAATACCAATGCGTCTTCCGCGCCTTGCCACGGCGTAAAGCTTGGGAAATTTGCACTTGATACAAATATGTACCAGTAAATTTATAGTATACATGGTGCATATCCATATACATCAATACACTAGGCAAAGAAAATTCAAATAATCGTTTTAATTTATTTTCAAATAAAATTAGAACAGGAGGCTTCGATATTATTATCTATCATTTCAGAATATCAGTATAAATTATCTAATCTAAAATTGTAAAAATTCAAATATTGATATATTTATTCTTAATGCTTTGATTTGTAAATAGATATTTGTTTTTTTTTTGTAAATAGGAATATGTTTTAATGGTTATATCTTTTAAAATTTTTAAATAATATATTGAGATATTTTATTTTTATTAATATCGAAACTAAAACTGCTCTACTTTTTCAATTTTGCCTTATATAATAACTTATCTAATTCAAATTTTTAAAAAATTAAACTCTGTATAACATACTCAGAAATAAATCAATCAATACACTTTTATACTGATTATCTCTGATTACGTTAATATATTCGCATATAAATAGTTATTTTTAGTTTCCTTTAGTTATAATAGTTAGCACTCACAGTTTTTATATTTAATTAACTAAAACTTTATTATCTTATATATAATAATTTTATTTGATTTATTATCATATAATACAGTACAACAAATATTAAAACACAATTATTATATAATTTTATTTTGTAATGTATTCATCGTGTTCGCAATAGTTATATAAAATAAAGAAAGTAGTAATTGAAAAATAAATTAAATGATTTATGTTTAAAAATTTCTATTTAAAAAATATATTATGTTGAGCCAAAAATAACTATTAATGGTACACACTGAAGTCATTAAATATATTTGATTAAGTAGAACTACTTATAACAATTTATTTACAAAAAATTTTTGTATTTTTGTAATAATTATTTTATAGATAAATAATTTATTATATAAGTTGCTTTTTAGTAATAACAGTTTTGTATTTATAACTTTATCTTAATTTTTCTTAACGAAAAATTTATTTAAACATTATATGAGAACTGTGCAAAAGAAATGTGGATGCTTAATGCTTTGATAATCTTCTGGGTACGAGTACTCCATTTATGAACTCATCTAATGAGTTAAAATAGACTTCAAAAGAATAAAATTATGACCTAAAATTTATATATAATAAATATGATCTATAACAGACACACAAATTTAGAAAAATAATAAGTCATTTATTGTTGTGTACCAAATTAATGTATGACTCTTGAATTCCTAAAAATCTTAAATTAGAAGAAAGGTATTGAATTTGTAAATATCTTTATGTAAATACTTGAATTGCCAGTAATTTTAAAGTGAATATTTCTAGAAATAATGATGAGATCTGAGATGAGAATTTACGATATCATTAAATATTACGTAAATTGAAATACGTTACACAATTATTTTCTATACTTTATAATGTAAATAGGAATAATTTTAAATTCGTAATATTTTACTAGTAAGATAATTACATACATTGATGTGAATTTTTTAATTAAAAAATGTTAAAGAATATGAATTGTTTTAATTACTTAAATAAAACTAATTATTAATTAAATAAAAGATAATTAAGTTAACAGTATAATAACAATTGATTGTTACTTTTTATTAATAGCAAATAATATAGTTGCATTAATTTTTTTAAAACACATATAAAATCTTAATTTCATGAATTTGTATAAATTTCCAAAATGAAGTAACATATTATATAATATAAAAATATATTTAAGAACTTCTTTGAAAATAAAATTGTAATATATTATGAATTATTTATGTACACTAATACAAGGATTAACAATTTTAAAAATAAATACGTGTATAAATTAATTTTTAGATATTTGATAACGAACCGTTCAAATTAAAAATAATATATAATACACCGTCATAGGGTATATATAATAAATTCATATATTAATTAATAATATTTTATTCGTAGTGGGATAAAGAAGCAAAAGAAGCAGAAAAGTTAATTAAAATGCGGCACATCGAAAAAGAAGATTCTGGAGAAATGGATAATTTAGCTTTAGCAATTTTAAATAAAAATAAATCTAGAGTATCTGAGGCAAATAATTTCTTTGATTCTCTCATTAATAAATACACAAAATCATCAGAAAAGTCAAAGAAGAAAGGAGAATCATCGCAAATGTCAAAAAAGAAAAAATATATATAGTTATCAGTTATTATAATAATTTAATATTAAATAATTAAAAATGTTATCATAATCATCATGGATCGAAATTCTTTGTATGAATACATCAATCCAAAGAATAATTAATTCATATTATATTCAATGTAATCTTTATTTTTTGTATTATTGAACTATAAATTTTTAGCTATAATTATATATTAATTTTGATAAATTTATTATTATAAAACATTTCTAAACAAAAATATAGTTTTTTGTACTTAAATTAACAAAAATAAATTTATAATCTTATTGTTACATAAAATAAATTTTGAAATAAAAATTGAGTTATTGTAATAAACACGTAATTGAATGTAGTTGTTATTTACAATAAAATATAATATTACGACATTCTTATACCTTGATATTTTTAATATCTTAGGTGCCAGTGTGGCAGTACTGTGACTAAATTGCTGACATACATAAGCCACGCGTAGTTACTCATCGAGCTTTAAATATCTAGCATTCTCTTCATAATTCAATATAAATGTGAAAAATTACCGACAGAACTGTAAGTAAAATCGCAGTCTGTAATATCAGCGAAGTAAATTATATGTCATCATTTTGTCAGAATTTTGATACGACGTAGTATGTTCCATAGTATTTTGTAGGACACTACTGTACTTACTGTACTATACTCATTTCTGTTCTGCTCCTGCAGAATATATAAAATTCTATATTATCGATTGATATTTATTTTTACTCAATCGGTATAAATTGAATCGTTAAATTATTTTGTTTCTGTAATAATTTGATGAACTGTTTTTTTTTATGAAAAAGTACTATAATTTTAATGTGATAATATTAGTTAATATAATTTTTTTAATTAATGGGTACCATTTTTAAAAGATTTACAAAAATTAATTTCTACTTATTTTAGAAAAACACTTTTCTAAGTGCATTAAGATTTATCAAAGTTTTTTTTAACGGACCTTGCTGCAAAATGTTCGATCAATATTCATTGATTTTATAAATTTACAATCGAATAATTCATTTAAGTATGCTATTCTTTCAAGGACTTTTAATGCAAAACAATTACTATATAAATACTACATTTTTCAGAAACTATTTATTTTAATTTATTATAAATATTTTAACCATTTAAACATAAATTTAAATTTATTTTTATTTTACATATAATATTGATTGAGAGCTTTTCAAAAACAATTTATTGCTATTGATAAAACATGTCTGTTTTATTAATAATATGATACAAACATTTTTTGCATAGTTACAAATATATAATGTTACTTAACAAATTCTTACAAATTAGCCCTTCAATATAATAAAAAAATTAAAAAATTAAAATACGGAAATATGACTTATTTTCGATACTTGGAAATAGTATTATTATCTTATAACATTTGGTAAATATATCTTATAAATTATTAAAAAAAATCAATATATCTTAATTCATATTAATTTTTTATACATATCTTTTAAATTATATTCATTTTTATATTATTTTATTAATTATAATCTTATATTTCATGTTATTAATATAAATTTGTAAAATTAAGTATTGATAAGTTATACCAATTAGCTTATTGTATTTGTATTAACAGCATTATTGCTTACATAAAATTTATTGTTATTATATACATAATATAATTTTCTAATGATTTAAAACTACACACACACACATATACTTACTTACACATATACATGTACTTACGATTTTCTAAAAATATATATTTTTAAAAAATTATTTTTAGAACAATTTTTGAATAATTATCTAAAATATTTAAGTTTGATAATAGTTATTTGTAAAAAATCCAGACAATAACAAATTTATATTAAATAAAGTTATGCAAAAATAAAAAAAAAGTAATTAATTCAAATAGTAGTATAGAATATTGTAAATATAAATATAAATGTATATATATATATATATTTATTTATTTATATATGTGTGCGCTGAAAACATAAAATTAATTCTTTTGTAGAATAAATAAGTTCCATTGGATAATGATATAAATTAACATATATATTACATACAAAATGTGTAATGCTTGAATCAGCTACAATGATCCATACTATTTAGTATTAAAACCAATTTTATTGTTAAGTGCAATCTGAATAACAAATCTAAAAATAAATCAAGAAAATAACTTAATACGTTTTTCAAATGTATCCTAAATTCGGAACACCCGGTATTAGTTAGTCTGAAATAATAAAACATATGATATGACCATACTTATTTTCGTAATGGAACATAAGGGTAAGTAATAGTAAAGTATAAGTTCATAATCATGTGAATTCTTTCAATAATTTGTATGACTTCACAATTCAAATAAACTTCGACTTTACCTTTTTACGAAAATCTGTGAAATTCAATGTATTATAAGTTATTCATACTATGTTTGAAAACTATAGAATAGATAATTTACAATGATTTATAGATACATCAAAAGCTCGTCTACTTATCGATTACTTAGATAGTATTTTTGATAGAACAGTTATTTTTTAGATAATTAAATTTTGTATGAAATGTGGTTTTACATACATTTTTGTAAAGACTCGAATAAATTAATAAAATATTCATAAATTGTTATTATACATGTAAACTAAGAATAAAATTAACTTAGTTAGTTTACAAATCTCCTCTAGTTAATAAAATTATAATTTATTAAAAATATTCATTTGAGTTTATAAACTAAAAATTAAATTATATATTTTTTTGAAACTAATAATTTCTATATTCGAAAAACATATAAATCTAATTTAATATATGTAATAAATATAGTCATAAAAATTATTTACGTAAATTAGAAAAAACTGTCCATTTTATAATCAGTCTTTTAAATAAAGTTTACTAAAATTAATGCATTAAAAATTGCTTAATAATAACTATGTAATAAGAATTTAATATGAATTTATTTAAGAAAGATGACATTACTTAAATATTTAATGATTCAGTTCAAAGGATTTTTGAGAAGCAAAACTATTTAGATATATTCATTTACAAAAATTATCGGCAAAAAATATATCACAATATATTGAAAATAAATTGTTCAAACTATAACAAGTCAACAGCGTGTGGGTTACAAATAAAATGCATTATTAAATATGATTCTAAACAATTATTAAAATGGTGTGTCGAAGTGGTTGAATCGAAATTAGATGAATTTTCAACTATTTTTCAGTGTTTGACTTCTTGTTCTCATTTTCGACGATACCGGTAGCAACGGTAGAAGCAGCGGCAATTCTTAACTCAGTTTCTTTCTCTATTTCCTCCGTATTGTTCGATGTTCTTTTGACGCTTCCCAGATATATAATTTCGCGTACACCCTGCTTAACTTTTATGCGACGAAGCAGACAACCTGATTGCTCCTCCTTACGCTACCATCGACAAGCATGCGCATATATAGATGTACGCGTAGCTACTTAGGAAAGCGCGCGCGCGAACGAAAGAGAGACAAAAGCAGAAGATACAAGAGGATGTGGAGGGGTAACTTTTCGGAGGCAGAAGCAAAGAAGAGAGAGGAAGAGTATAAGCGGCAGCACTAAGGAAAGAGCGAGTAGAGGAGTGGAGGAGGAAGAGGTACAGAAAAAGGAGGAGGTTGAGGAGGTTGAGGAGGTGGAAGAGGAGGGCAGAGCGACATTCCAGAAGGCGGCGGCGGCGGCAGCGGCGGGGCTCTCGTGGGAAACTTTAAAATGAGAGGGTGGCAGCCTCATGCCAACAGTGAACGAGAGAGCACGAAATCTCGGTATATGTGAACATATATATGCTTTTATATACACAACACATGGTCATCTCATAAGGAGGAAGGGATCCAACGTAAGAACTAAAAAATAAATAAAAAACGTAAATGAGAAGAGAGAGAAAGAAATAGAATGAAGGGAGTAGCAACGCAACCGTGATCATTGTTTACTTCGTAGTTTTCTTATCTTGTGAACTTCTCGCAACACTAGTATACCAAAGAATAGTGCATTTGAAGAGCAAATCAGGTAGCGAGACATTGAAGGGCGCGAAAAGTCTCCCTTGGTGACGTGGCGACTGCCATCGCAAGTAGTATAACTGGTTTTATTGCGGCGCAACAGATCGCCAACGGCGTCTCACGCGCGTTCTCACAAACGAGCCGCTATATATGTATACGAGAGATGGAGAAAGAGAAAGAGAGTTAGAATGGAAAGCCTCCAGAGAGGAGCCACAGTTCTTTCTCTTTTTCTCTTCTTACCATTCGTTTCTCCTCGTAGAGAGAGAGAGAGAGAGAGAGTGTGTGTGTGTGTGTGTGTGTATGTGTGTGTGTTCTCTCTTTCTTCCCTTCGTATAGTATCGTCGCAAGATGAGAAGAAGGTGGAGAGTTAATTGAATCTGAGCAACGTATAAGTGGAATGGCCTATGCCTCCTTTAGCCACTCTATGCCTCTCTCCCTCTTTCTATAAGGCTGTCTTTTTCTCCTCCCTATCTCGCTTACGTTCACCCTCTCTGCCTCTAGTCCGTTCGCTTTTCTTATTCTTCTTTCTTTCCGCATGCCTTCTTTGGTTTTCACCTTTTCGTTTATACGTGCTGCTTGTCTCTCCCTCTCCCACTCGTTCAGTTCATTCCCTTTGCTTTTGCCTTCGTTTTCGCTTGCGCCCTGCCTGAGTCATGTGCCCTTGCCGCTGGAACGAGGACGAGAGATACCAAATGTTTAATGTTGAAAGACAGAGAGAAATTGAAATAGATAAATAGATAGAGGGAAAAAGAAGGAAATGAAGACGAGGAAAACCAAAATCAGTTGGATGCATTCTTTATTTTATTGTTTATGCGCTAATGACGTTAGATTATACGCGCACATCCGATTATATATATTATACAAAAAGTAATAATTCATGTGATTATTAAACGAATGTTTATCGATGACACTCATAGCTACGATGAGACAAATAGATAGATTCGGTCGGCGGTACAGTCCATGAGTTAGAATAGCCACCGTGCAATCTTACCATGCCACTGAAAACAGAACCTTACGTCGAAATAAATATTCTTGTATTCTTTCTTATTTCATTATTATTAGATATTTA